TCTCTCTCTCTCTCCCTCTCTCTCTCTCTCTCTCTCACTCTCTCTCTCTTTCTCTCTCTCTCTCTCTCACACACACACACACACACACACAGAGTCTCTCTCACCACCTCTCTTTATTTAACTTCCCCCGCTGGCCGAACGTCATGGCGATCCAACGCAAAGTGAAGTAAATGACAGCAACACCGTGCACACTCACAACTGAAAATGTGGGCGAGAAGCGGGGATGGTGCAGCAGGCACTCCACGGGCAACCCGGAAGGCGACATTCGGATGCACTGCAAATTTGACGACGGTCGACAGTATGCAAAATGAGGAGTTTTCTCCCTCGCCGCTCGTGCACCCCCCTCCTTCCTTGCCGCTCACACACCCCGCTACTGCCCTCGCCATGTTCACACGCAACTGAGAGTTCACACCCGCACACCCCTGCACTTGCACACCCCTGCACCCGCACACCCCGCACCCGCACACCCCTGCACCCGCACCCTCTCGTTGGCGTGGCGCGTGCCCACGCCCGAACCACCGCTCGTCACGCAGGGCACCTACCCATGGTATCGATGCCCGCGCTTATCATTGCCGTCGTCGTCTTCAACAACCTCCCCCTTGCTTCAACTATCCACATGAAGATTGGCCATGATCGTCGTGTGCAGGAGACTTGTCCCTTCATCTGTCTCTCACTTCCCTACGTTTTCGTGGTCAGCCGTCGGTGGACCACTCCCGACCCAGTCCTGATTGGCGGCCTCAACAACATTCTTTAGCGCCGCATTGTGAGCGCACAGCAGTGACAGCACCCTGCAGTCGACCCATTCCGGGACGTAGTGCGGATACTCTCCCATCGTGATATAAGGCTTCCCCAGACGATCCAATACGATGTTCACCATGTCGACGATGTGACGCCTCCCGTTGAAGGCGTAAGATCCCGCAGCAATGAGGGTGGGTTTTGCGGTGAGTGCAGCAAAGTATCCAGCGTCGTAGTGTGAGCGATAGTCGTCGCCACCCATTCGCATGATCCACATGCAAGCGCTTATAAGATAACGTAAACAATCCGCGAGTCTAGACAGCCTATCGTGCTTCAACCTACTGCCGTCCGCCCACTGCCCACAGTGCAACGCATCCGTCCAGCAGTCTGCCATGCGAATTATTGTCGCCTCCTGATGTGCGGCCATGTCATCATCTTCAGGCCTGTCGACGGTTTTCAACCCTGCGAACCAAAGAGGCACGTTCATCTTCATCTGCAATGTGTAGTAGACGAGCGCAGGGGAGATCACTCTCGATCATTCCAAGCCTTGCCACACAGCACGCGTGACGTCAGTGGCGTAGTCCACAGTGATGTAGGACTCCGCACGTGCGAAGCCATTGGATCTTGATGACGACTTGAAGATCCACCCGTGGATCGCTTGCATCACGATTTTCTCGACGGCCCTTGCTCTCCCCAAAGCCGGATCGCGCTACGTAGGGTCATCGATCTTCGTGTGGTGGATATCAGCAGGCGGCATGATGAGCATGGACGGCGGCTCAGCTCCCGAGTCCCCATTGGCGAGGGCGACGAAGTAATCCGCGCAGTCCGTAACCGGCTCCCTCAACGGTTTGTCGTGACCTTGACCCCATAACGCGTCACTACCCACCCACAATATCGACCTACGCTCGAGATCGTCCTCCGGGCCGTGCTTCTTCAACCTTTTTGAAGGGCGGTTGTCGTCGTCATTGTTGCTCTCATGCCTGCCTGTTGCCCATCCCCGAACCGCCCGCCTGTTGCCCGTCCCCGAATCGCCCGCCTGTTGCCCGTCCCCAAACTGCCTGACAGTTGCCCGCCTGTTGCCCGTCCCCGAACTGCTCGCCTGTTGCGTTGTCAACTCTTCACGGGTTGGCGATGGCGACACGACCTGCTTCTCCACCCGCCCTGCCCCAGCGACCGGGATGATCGTACCACGAGCGGCGCTCGAAGCCGCACCCCCCGCTGGCAGGAGTGGCCTCGGCGACCGCCCCTTGTTGATCACTAACCCGCCTCCCTTCGGTGTCCTCACTTGGGCGACGGTGGCAGCACTTCCGCCAGCTTGTTTTAATGCTGCGACCAGCGCCCTCGGCACACTGTCCCACCCGAAACCGAATCGCCCGCCCGCCTGCTGGCTTTGGACGCCGCCACCGCCACGTTCTCCTCTTCTTCGTCGCCATCCGAGCTGTTATCAACTACGATCTTTGTTGCAGACTTCCCGAAGTGGCCCCGTCCTCTCTTGCCTTCCCCCCCCTCTCCTCCTCCACTCTCTCTCCTCCCCCTCATTGTCGTGTTCCGTTGTGGCATGTGGACAACGGTGCGAGGTCTGCGACGCGAGAGAGCACCGCGTAGATTGCACGTCTGGCGGAAAGGCTACGGGTAGACTGCGGCACGGAATGGCAGGCGCACCGCCCTTTTGTAGCTTTCGCCGCACTCCAACAAAACACGGACAAGCGTCGCCGGACATGCACCCTGCCCTTTCGTAACATGCACGCGGACCTTCTTTACCTGTCCAGTGCGTATCCTCGCCCATGGCCTGGGCCCGCGTCGACGCTCCAGCTCACCGTATTTTTCCCGCCACCACCCATGCATCATCCACAAGTCCATCGTTGCATGAAAGAGACAGCGCAGTATGGCGCCTAGTCCATCCAAGAAGGCATACAGGAAGTTCCTCCAGCCATCTTGCATGTCGACCCGTGCAGTCGGGCCACGTACCCTTCCCACACCCTCTAAATTCTGCATGAATGTAACACCTCGTCCACCTCCTCTCCTTCCTAGTTGTCGCCCGACACTACATCCATCCGACTGTCAAAACTGTGGCCGAGGGTGACAGGAAAAATAGACCAGCAGTACAGACGAAGATGACTTCAGGATCGTTCCCGATCGTTTTCACAATCTCCAGCAAAGCGTTGCACATCATGAGGTTCGCCTGATCGGCCTTTTCGTGGTGCTGTCTCTGGACGTCCACCTCCCGCTCGAGAATATCACATTGCCTCGTCAGAACTGAGCACTGCCGTTTTCTCGCAGAGTCCACTGTTGCCGCCATCAATTGCCCGTGCTTGTCCATGATGTCTGCGATCGCCTCAAAGGTCTGCTGTCTAAAATTTTTCCTTTTTCTGGCCCCTCCACCACTCACGCAGGTAAACGTTGAATCCCGCGTCGATCCCACCTTGTCGTCCTGCCCCTCTCCACCCCCCTCGCTAGGCACCGACTCCTGCCGTCCGGCCACAGAACCGCCCATCTGGACACCCCCCGTCGCTCCCGTGTCCGCCAGGTTGGCTGGATGGATGGTGTGATGTACCTTTGTCATGGCCTCCATCTCCCGGTACACACGCTCATCCATCCGGAAGTCGAAGTCTTTTTCCCTCCTTTGCGCGGGCGTCAAAGTGAAGAAATCCTCTTTCCCGACAAACCCATGAATTTATGAACGTGTTTGAACTGCTGATAGAGGTTGTCCCATTTCTCCCCCCAGTCATCAACCTTCCTAGTTGTCACCCCGACCTTCACTAGCCTCTTCTCCACATCATCCCACTTCCACGTTCGTGATTTCATCCGCCCGTAGTTGTGTCCAAGGCCCGCGAGATGCACGTCCTGGTCGCATTTAGCTCGGACGAGAGCGATCATATGCTTCACCGACCAAAACTCTCTGCTTTTGCTTCCCTCACCTGCCGACGTGTCTTTTGAGCCTTCTTCCCCTTGAAGTTCCTCCCCGCGCGCGCTTCACTACACTTCTTCGGGCCAAACCGCACTCCCCGTTTCCTCCCGACTGGACAAATGTCTATTTCGCCGTCCTCGTCTTCTTCGTCATGGTCGTTCTCACCATCTTCACGTCCGCTATCTTTAGGCCCTCCATTGTCGTTGTCAGCGATTGTATCCTCTACACCGACGTTCATCCTCGCCACACCTCTTGTTATGCCGGACGTCGTCGACTGCCTCAAATGTCGCCGCTGATCTTCCCACACCTCTCGTCTGACAACCTCTATGGCCGACCACTCCTCCTCGTCTCTTTGCCCGTCTGTTGCATTAGCAGGCCTCGTCGATCTGCACCGCTGTGACCCGGTCGTCCTCGTCCTGGACGCAGCCACACCGACACTGCCAACAGCCCCTACCCGTGCCGAATTCGATCCACGATCGTAGGGCAACCCACTGTGGCACCCATTGTCGTTTGGTGGAAGCCCACCCGTCGTCCCCGATGGCCTTGCGTTAAAGCTTGCTGAAGCGGGGCTGACCACAATTGTGCGCGAGACGTCGTCACAGCTACCCGGCCTCATATCGAAGCTAAGGTCGACCGCCCTTATGTCGTATCCTGCCGGTGCATGCCCCTCACGTTCGCTATCTTTAGGCCCTCCATTGTCATTGTTGGCGATTGTATCCTCTACGCCGACGTTCAGACTCGCCACACCTCTCGTTATGCCGAACGTCGTCGACTGCCTCAAATGTCACCGCTGATCTTCGCACACCTGTCGTCCGACAACCTCTGTGGCCGACCACTCTCCTCGTCTCTTTGCCCGTCTGTCGCATTAGCAAGCCTCGTCGATCTGCACGACTGTCCTCGTCCTGGACGGAGCCACACCGACACTTCCAACAGCCCCTACCCGTGCCGAATTCGATCCACGATCGTAGGGCAACCCACGCTGGCGCCCGTTGTCGTTTGGTGGAAGCCCACCCGTCGTCCCCGATGGCCTTGCGTCAAAGCTTGCTGAATCGGGGCTGACCACAACTGTGCGCGAGACGTCGTCACAGCTACCTGGCCTCAGATGGAAGCTGAGGTCGACCGCCGTTGTGTCGTATCCTGCCGGTGCACGCCCCTCCAGAAGATCGGTGTACGTCAGCGTCGGTGGATGTGTGAAGTGTTGGGTCCCCATCCAATCTTGCGTGGAACCGCTGCCCAACGGAACCGTGGCGGACGGAGGATTGTCGGCTTCGTCGTCCGTCGGAGGCAACGGTGCCTCCCACGAAGGCAGGGTCGTACGGCCGCCTGCCTCCTTCCGCACACGACAGACGCATTGTTG